TTTCTGTGTTAGGCTCGGGACTTTTCAGCCCATGTGTTATATAACTTACAGTGATTAATTTTAATCTTTTTAATGTTAATTTGAATGACCTATTAATTTAATAACCTAATAATTTTTAAATTTTCTATTCACATTTGTATAAATAACTAACTTTTAGGATTAAATATTCTCTCAAACGGGAAATTGAAATGGTATTAATTCTATGTTAAAAGATATTATTTTGTTGGATTCTATATCAATTGGTATTATTTCTTCCAGTAACATGGATATTTAATCTACTATCATATTATAGCTGTCCAATGATTCTCGAGAATAAGAATTATTGTATTTCTCCATAAAAATTTAAATTTTTATGAAATCTTGGTAGGATTATTAAAGATATCCCTGGATATTATTGTATTAATGGCTTTCTTTTAAAATTTATATGAAAAAGTTGAGTATAACTGAGAGCGTTGAATTTTAGGATCACAATTATCTATTATTGGAGTCTCCAACTTATGTGAATGTAAATAGAATAAGTATAATGAAACTACTATGAATATGTAAATATTACATCTCTATTTTATTTTATTATATCTTACTTAATGGTCAAGGCAAATATAAATGCAATTCAATGTATAATTAAATACTTAAATAGCATTAATACGCATAGTTCCCAGTGAGAAATGACAATGGAATCGACATCGAATCGATGCTTGATATGGCAATACTTTTTAACGATCTTTTGCCGAAACGTGCTTTATCTCTCGGTATGACGGTCTCGACACTTTTATTCTATTTAAAAGCTGTGAAGATTATTCAGCGCATTAAGTCGTTACATCGGATCACCTGACGCTAACTATAGTTGGAACTCGAAGCTCCGTTCTTCGTTGCGTGAAGGAATAACGTCGGCTCCGAGCTGAGCACTAACATAACCCTCGTGCGAAAGAAGGTAACTTTGGAGACACTAGTATAGAAATTTATAAAAGTAAAAGTGAAACTTCCAACTCCCCGCGAAAGTTATCACAGGATATGTATTTCAAATTCTACGCATGATAATGTGACCCTTTTCTTGAATTGGAAAACCAAATAGGGGCATAATAATAATAAGAATATAGGCTTTCTAACCTAAAAGAACTTGGAATGCTTTTTTTTAATAAAATTCCATATTTTCGAAATATTTGCCATTAAGATGAAAATAAGTCATCCTGTATATATATATATATA